AGTTCCTGGTGTCAGGCCAGCTTGTTCCAGGAGCACATACCATGGCCCGGGACATACTGCCTCTCACGCGTCTTCTCCGGGCAGCCCTCTCCCAGGGGAGGCAGTGAGCCGCCAGGAGCCTCAGAGTCGCACCTCCCCACTGGGGCAGTGCCAGAGACGGAAAGCCCCTAGCTCCAGATCAGTAAGTCCAGGACAGAGTCTTGGGTGGGTGTGGGCTGGGCAACCAACCGGAGCCCGTCACTGGATTGCAGAGGTGGGCACCTCCTGCCTCCCATGCCCACCTCTCCACCAGGATAGAGCGTGCCTGCACTGGAAGCACATTTTCTAAGAGTGGACAGTCCACAGCCCCTATGTCACTGCACCCACCCTTGTCTTCATCCACAACCAAAGCACATTGAATCGATTCTGATTCATAGCAACCCCACAGGGCAGGGCAGAGCTGCCCCTGTGGTTTCTGAGGCTGGAACACTTTAGGGGAGTAGAAACCTCGTCTTTCTCCTGAAGAGTGGCTGGTGGTTTTGAACTCCTGTCCTTGCGGCTAGTAGCCTAATGCCTCGTAAACCACGTTGGGCTGTCCCTTTCCCGGAGCACGGCTCTCTGGCTTTCTGCACCCTTTGCTTCATGGAGACGGAGGGAGCTCCAGGTCACGTGCTCAAGTTTGAAGTCCGTGGGTAGCACAAATAGTCAGGTACTGGCTACTCACCCAAAGATGTGCGGTACTAACCAGCCCAGTGGTGCCTCAGAGGAAAACTCAGGCCGTCCCCTTCTGAAAGGTGGATGACAGCTCTGCTCGCCACACGGGGTCCCCAGGAGTCGGAACTGGCTCCTTTTGCTGGATACTGACATTTGGTGGCTGGCTGGCAGAATTCCCACCTTCCACACAGGAGACTTTTACTCCATTCCAGACCAATGTGCTCCGCGGCATTTTTTGTCCTTGTGTCTGGGCCATGGTGAGGTGGGAACAACCTGAAGACAGCTGGCTGCAGACCAACGAGGCTGACGTTTGCTCCGAGCCTGCGACCCGTGTTACCTGTGCAGCAGCCCACTGAATGCTTCCAGAAGGTCCCAGGTGGAAAAGACTTCAGATCTATATCCAGTTAAGCCACCACTGTGGAGCTGCATTCCTAAAATGAAATGCCACAAGGAGTCTCCCCGTTCCATTCAGGAAAATTAAGTTGTGAAACGCGACTGGAGTGGAGTGGCTCCTGGACCAGCCTGTTGGGAGATCTTTGTTTCCCTCACGCCTGAGTCTCCCAGGGTTCTGGAATGCCTTTGGTGCCGTGTGCTGTGTTTTCTTGGGTGGTTACCCCCAACAATGGAGAAAGACCTCTAGGCACAGTCACGAATTCAGGATTCTCTGCCGATTGGACTACTGCCAAATGCTACCTTAAGAAGACTTGGGTTCTTACAGCGCAAATATATGTTACTCTGCCAGGCAACTTACATCCCAGCTTATAAGTCAACAACGTCTTGCCAGCTGACAGTTTGTAGAAGAGTGACCTGCAAAGGTTTTTACTCAGTCTCCCCTTCTTTCAGGAGAATGAGATGCTAGCCAATTCCCTACAAGGATCCTGTGCCCTCCACACGATTGCATGGCTCTGTGGACTTGTGCTAGGGATGTTCAGAGAATGGGCACTGTGCTTCTCACAGAGCTCTTGCATATCGGCTCTTCCTTACCTGGTACTCTCACCTGATTTTCTATAGAGGAACTACTCTTTGTTTTTGTTTTTCTGTTTTGCAAATGAGAGGATGGCGGTGTGGGGCCGATGGGCACCTCACCCAAGGGCAAAGTCACTGAATTCATCGGTGTCTAACACTGGGCTCCCGGCACTTTGTCTAAGTAGAAAGGAACATTTGGTTTTCTGAACCAAGGGGTTGTGTCGCATGCCTTTCACCGTGGCTGAAGTAGCGTGAGCCTTCATGGACGGGGTGGTGGTATCCACGGAGGTTGCCTCCCCTCCTGAGAGAGGGGTAAATTTCTGTAACGTGCTACTGAATTTGCTATTTATCTGGTGCTGTTGAGTTCATTCCAATTATGATGACGCTACAGGACATCCTTGCAGGTGGTCCTCAGATCCCGCCTGGGGGCCAAGGGCTGCAAAGAGTATTCTAGGCTGCAGTTTGTGTGGAATGTATGTTCTGCGTTCTGGCTATAATCTGTGTATAATGCGTGTTCTGCATCCTAGGCTGTAATCTGTGTATAATGCATGTTCTGTGCTCTAGGCTGTACTCTGTATAAGGTGAGTTCTGTGTTCGAGGCTGTACTCTGTATATAATGCGTGTTCTGCGTCCTAGCTGTACTCTTTGTATACTGCATGTTCTGTGTTCCAGGCTGCAATCTCTGTATAAGGTGTGTTCTGTGTTCGATGCTACAATCTATGTAGGACAAATTGCCAGCCCTTGCCCCCTGTGCAGGCTCTGGGTGGCTGCAAACTACCACCTGCTCCATGGAACCGTTCAGGTTCCATGACGTAACTTGTTACAGCTTCTTTTGTTTTCCCACATGAGAAGGCTTCCGCAAGCTTGCGGGAACATTCATTACTTTTTCATTCAGCCTCCCCACACACCATCGAAAGGCCCGTGTGCGTGCTAGGAGCCCTGGTGGGGTCATGGGCTGTGCACTGGGCTGCTAACCACAAGGACAGCAGTTTGAACCCACCAATTTCTCCTTTGGAGAAAGATGAGGTTCTCTGGTCCCAGAAAGGTGTACAGCCTTCAGAACCCATGGCGGGAGGAAGTTCTCTTGTGGCTGCCGGGTCTGGGTTCATCGGAACAGGCCCAGCAGTAACAAGAGTCGTATGGTTCAGGCTTGTGTATATACTGGCTCCCAAGTGGGCCCCGTGGAGCAGATGTGAGGTGGCAGACGCACTGTGTTTTAGCCCCTGGGGAGTAACGCGGCGGCGCCATTTGCTGGACTTAGACTTAGTGGATCTAGGGACACTCAGAACCGACCCGAAGAGAACTTTCTCCCCACAAACGAGTGTACAGCTTGCATGGAGTCGCCTGGGGATCAGAAAGCTCTGCTTTCAATGGCCGGATCTGGCTGCGTGAGTTCCTGGGGGTCTGCTCGCTCTCAAGGCAGGGCAGAGGCTTGCTCAGGTGGGAGCAGAGGACCACCGACCACAGCCCCATGCCTGCAAGCTGCAAGGCTGGCATGGGAAGAGGCCCTGGGAATCTGCACCTGGCGAGGTTCCCTGGCAGGCCCTTCTGATCTGGCCCACAGGTCGGCCCCGGGTTAGAGGCCCCGGCACCAATCCAGAGAGAAAGGCCCAGGACAGACTGTCTTGCCCCTCACGCCTTGGCACTCCCTGCCCCTGGTGTCCTACTCTATACCCTCTTCACAAGATGCTGATAGGGCGTCCTGTGTCCACCCGCATCCCCCTCTCCTGCTGGGCCCGACTTCCTGACTCACATCGACTTTCCAGGACAGGATCCAACTGGTAATCTGCTATCATTTACGGTGGCTTCCTGGGGAACTGCTTCCCTCCCTCCTCACCTGGAGGGGCTCTGATGTCATCAAGCCGACTGTGGATACCTGGTCATTGGAAACCCACGGGAGGGTGAAGGCACAGCTGACCAAGGAGGAGTCAAGAGGCCTGGAAGAGGGACTGTGGGCTCCTCCGGATGCCCTGGACTTCCTGAGACGCAGCAGATGGGATTCGGGCTGCATGAACTTCCTGGGTACCAATGGACCCAATTTAGACCCCTGTGCTTCAACGTATCTGCAGGGATGTCCTCTCTCATGCCCAGGGGGACCTTCAGCACATCTCTCCTCAGTAGCCAAAGAGTGTCCAACATGCCACCTGCAGCTTGGAGACTTAAACCAGTTAAGGCTGAAAACATCTCGCTTAGAGTCTTATACATTCAAGCAAAAGTACCCCAAATCAACATGCTCATCCATATAGGTCAGACAAAACCCAGACTCACAGCCAGCAGGTCAGTGCTGACACACAGTGACCCCCATGGGTCCTGAGACTGTACTATTGGCGGGAGTAGAAAGCCCAGTCCTTCTCCTGAGGAGTGGCTACTGGTTTCAAACCGCCGACCATGCGAACCGCCACCTAACGTGGAACTACTCTGCCCCCGGGGCTCCTGTACGTAGATATGTGTGTTTATACATGCATGTAATTCTTCACATATGTACCGGTTCACAGTGTACGGTGAGTCCTGTCTCACGGACCTGCAGAGTGACTGCTTCTCCCTGCCTGCAGTAGAGGGCAGACTTTGCTGTGTTATGAGCAGCAGCATCATTGGGCAAGGCCTGGAGAGACGGGAGCAGCCTGTCCGTGAAATGGTCGGTTTGCAGGGAGACGAAGGGCAGTGACTTCGGGTGGGTGGGAGGGGAGGGGAGGAAGAACCCAGGAGTACACTGCTTCTGCCCTGGTGAGCGCACGCCGCGCCTTTCCTGGAGGACATGCCCTCGTGTGGCAGTGACCCCGGTGCCCACACTGCGTGATAGTGAAGGGAAGGTCCGGGGCCTCTGACAAAGCTCTGCCGAGGGGCTGAGTCTGACTGCAGCCTTCCCTGCCCTGCTAGCTCTGGCCGTGGAAGTCGGGGTCAGGGTGGCCGGGACCGTCAAGCCATAAAGGGATGCCACCCAAAGTCTGGTCCATGTGTCCAAGGGACTCCCGTGTCACCGCAGGGAGACGCTCAGAAGCTGAGGAGGAGAGAGCAGTGGCCCTTCAACCCACACTTGCACCCTCTAAGGGAGAAGCACATACCTCGAGGGGTAGCTCGCAGCTTTTCTTGGGTTACTCGGTAAATTCATATGAAAGGAGGAGTTCGTTTTTGACCCCCCTCCGCCCCTGCTCCAGGTCCAAGCACCTGTTTGCAATCCGCCTGGTCCTAACTGTCCTACCATTGAAACTCAGCCCTGTGGGCTCTCCTCGCGAGTCTGCCCACCCTCCGGCCCTGCCCAGACCAGGACAGAGCAGGTGAGCAGCGTGGCGGCTGATGGTCTCACGACACGTCTCCCTTCCCTTCCCTGCCCCTCCTGCCAGTACGAAGAAGGGAAAAAGCGCAGGAAACCCAACTACAGCAGCGTGGACCTCTCCGAGGTGGAGTGGGAAGACAGAGACGACGTGGTAAGTGGTGTGCCCTCGGGTCTCATGGGGAAGCTGCTGTGACCACCCTGCAGGCACCAGGGCCCACCAGGGGGAATCCTGCCCACCAGAGGGGCAGGGACATAATGGGTCCTTCCACCGCCTTTGGGGTTTTGTAACTCTCCCGCCAGCTGGACCCATTACAGACAGGCTGGCCACCCTCCTGCTTTGCACAGTCGGCTAGGGAGGTTCCCCCTGCAGCAGATTGACCGAGCTGCATCCTCAGTGCTGTCCTGGGGCCCAGCGCCCTTGGTGGAGTCTGGCCAGGCAGTGGGGGCTTGGGCCACTGCAAAGTCAGGACAAGTGGAGGCCGGGCAGGTAGGCTCCCGGCCACAGACTCTGCCTGTTCGAGCAACACTAGCACAGCTTCACTGGTTCAGGGGTCAGCCCAGGTGCTTCCTGTCCACTTCCCTCAGGCCGTGCCGTCCCGCACCCACACTCCTTCACCCACAGGCTCCCCCTGCCCCAGGGGCTAGGCCAGATGCTCTCCTTATGCCCATAACCGGACACCATCAGGTCTTCTTGGGACTTGCTCCATGAGCCAGATGTGCTAGACATGGATGTCCAGGCAGACTGTCCCTCGGTAACTTGCACTGCCCAGGTGGTCCTGTCTGGTCCTTGTTCTGAAGTTCCCCCCTGTGCTCAAGCTACTGTGCTCTGGCCTCCAGATTGGCCGGGGCCCTGCCTGCGCTCCACCACTGTGTTGGTGCTGCTTGTTCCCTGGCTCTTTCCAGCTGGCCTGTGGGATTTTGAGTGGCTCCTTCTGGAATCCCCAGGCTGGCGGTAGGTGCTCTCTCTCCAGTGTGAGCAACCTTGTGGTGGCAGGTCTCCATCTTCTCGGCCACTGCTCCCTGGACCAATCAGCTGGCAGGTACTAGTCCCTTTATCTTCCATTTGATGTCACCACACTGGACCTGTGTGTTTTCGCTCCCGGAAGGCTTTAAGTCTGTCTTCGATGTGCCTTTCCGCCCCTTCATTTCCATGTCATCAATGAACGAGGCGGACTGGGAGTGACCCTCCGCTTAGGGAGCAATGGGCTGACCAGTCCCTCTGCACGCTACTTCCAGAGCGAGGTGCAGGTGCACACGCTCTGCGTCTTTCTCACGGGGCTGCAGAGCGACGGGTTCCCTGGCAGCACCCTCGTCTTCATTTCGTCAGGTTCACAGCACTGGCTGCCCATCCCCCCTCAGGCCCCCTGACTCGGGCTGCGATCCTCATGGTCGGCAGTTTGAAACCACTAGCAGCCCCGCAGGGGAAGACTGGGCTTTCTACTCCCTTCAGCAGTTGCGGTCTTGGAAATCCACAGGGCCGTCGCTGAGTCAGCACTGGCTCGCTAGTGGGGAGCTTGAGTTTGCAGAGCTTGGGGAGCAGAGTCGATGGTTGAAAGGAACATCACCTTCACAGTCAGCGTGTGTGACGTAAGAAATCCCACGTCACCATTGCTCTCCTGTGGATTTGCACCCTGCTGGTCAGGACGCTCTGGGGTCTGTAGGAAGCCTCCCGTGAAGTCTGCACAAACCCCCACAGGCCTGTGTGGTGACCGAGGGGCCCACAAAGCAGGCAGGAGTTAGGTCAGCATCGGTGAAGGAGCAAGCGAGCCAGTCACACCCAGAAAGAAGCCTGTGTGTCCACCCAGCTGCGGAGAGTTCCTGGGCGCTACTTCTCCGGGACAGCTGCACTCTTGGTGAATTTAATGAGCACGTTGAAACACAGGCCCGGTCTGCTTCCATGGGTGATGGGAGTCCATGTTTACTGGCGAAGCAGACTGGCTCAAGTTAAAATCAGAAGGACCGAGGGGAGAGGAGCCACTTAGAGGGAATCCTGCTCTGGGAGGAGTTAGCCGTGCCACAGCAATGCACAAAGAATGGCAATTCCGTGAGGACTCCTGTCCCAAGAGAGGGCACACCAGCTCCAATCACCAGGGCAGACCACCTCCGAGAGAGGCAGGGACCTTTGAGAAATACCTTTCATTCCTCAGGTGTGAGCCTCCAAGATGGCGGAGGGGGTTACCAGCGAGTTTCTGTTTTCCCTCGGCTACCTGTGCGTCTCTGTCCGCCTCACCGCAGGAAACGGCACTCTGAATGGGATGGCAGGGGCATCAGAGGGACACCCACTCCTTCTGTGTGCAGCCCGATTTGAAGCGCTGTCTCCGCCGAGCGGGCTTGGTTGCCAGGTGCTGTAGGAACAAAGTATCCGTGGGTGGCTTCGGCACACCAAGTCATGTTCTCAGTTTGGGAGGCTGGAGACTCCGTGCTGGCCGGACAGGGCAGCCTCCTCTCTAACCTCTTGTGGGGAGCGTCCTTCCCTCTTCTGAGCTTCTGTTTCCTGAGGCCTAGAGTCTGTCTTCTCATCTCTGCTTCTCAGCTTGCTTCTTTAATCTCTGCTATGTATCAAAAGAACTTGACCCAAATGTGCTCAACACTGGTCTTGCTTCATCAACGAAGACTGCCCATTACCAACTGAGATGATAACTACACGCTTAATTGTTAGGATGTGCAGCACATCTTTTTGAGAGACGTAATTCAATCCATGACAATCGCTTTTATTCCTTTCATCCATTCTGTGGGGCAGGAGCTATTGCTGTTCCCACTTTAACACCTTAGGAATCTGAGGCAAGAATATTGACGTTGGAGGGAATGCAGGTAAATTTCAACCCAGGCAGTCCAGCCCCTGAAATGCTGCTCTTGACACCCCCCACCCCCCACAGTGTGCACTGGAAAGAATCCCCTGCTCCCTTGACATCTGAAGTGCCTCCATGCGGGACATGAGGGGATACACAGAGAAACCTGGATTCTTTGTTTCAAAGATACGTATCTAAATTTGTTTTACAAAACAACCTTATCACCTTCAAAGTACTCTTAATACATTTTCCAAACCTGCAATTCCATTCTTGGAAATGTTGTTCAGACTCCTGTGATTGGATGGCTGACAGCACCTCCCTCGTTTTTTCCCCTTTACTTCTTCTACTGCATCAAATTGCTGTCCTTTCATGTCCCTCTTCATTTGAGGAAACAAAAATAAGTCGCATGGAGAGAGGTCAGGTGGGTGGGGCAAGAGAGGTGTGCTGTGTTTTTGGCAAAACTGGAGCACTGAGATGGCTGTGTAGGCAGGTGCTTTATCATGGTGGCAAAGCTAGTCCCCCATCTGGCACAAATCAGCCCTTTTTCTGTGTGCCACATGCTGTTAGGCTATCTTTTCACAACCTCTAAATAGAAAGCTTGATGAACAGTCTGACCTGGTAGAATGAACTTCAAATGCATGATGAGTTAACATTTTTGTCTGTCTGGGAAGTTGACAGTCTTCCAGAATGAGGCTGTCATCAATCAACATTTCACCTTTTTTGGAAGGAGAAAACCACTCGTACACTTGAGTTTTAACCAAAATGCTGTCCTTGTAAGCTGTGTTCAACATCACAGCAGTTTCTGCAGTACTCTTCCTGAGCAGGAAGCAAAATTTCACAGCCACACCCTGTTTTCTTAAATTGGCCATCACAAAAACACGAGGTTCAAGCAAAAGTGCTTTTGTGAAAAAATTCACTGTGACCAGAGAACCTTCACAGGCGATGTCACTGGGCCCACTCACTCAGAGCGAGTTGTTCTATGCTCACCTATCGGGGAAAATGAGTACTATGAAAACTCCACCCGCAGAGCGTTTTCCATTTGTGTGTGTGTGTTGGGGGGGGGTACCCCCTTGTATGTGAGATCCTTCCAGTGGGCTGCAGGAAGATGGGGCATGCTTGCACTGCAGGGTAGTGGTGTGAATATCACCTCACCAGAATCTCCCTCAAGTTCAAACACAGTTCTTTCTGTTTCCCAGTTTCTTCTTTCGTGTAATGAGTGCACTGGGAACTTTCCCCAGGGATTTATAATTTGTTCTCTTTAAACCCTCTCCAGGTGTCCCCATCTCATCTTTGGGCCCTAGATCCTCACACCAACACAGGCTTCCCAGAGTACCCAGACCAAGGCATGGGAAAGGAGGACTTGTCCTACAGGAGACCAGGCCAGAGCCCCTTTCATATGTTGGCTGGATGCTTGCTTGGATGGCAGACCTGTTTATCCACTGCATCTACCTTGCCCTTGAGTCTCTCCAGTTGGCCGGGATCTCATTAGGGGCTTGGATGTGAATCCCATTCAAGGGGCACGGGAGGCTCCGGCTCTGGTGTGGACACCAAGCCGCCATTAGGGGAGGGAGCCACTATTACACGAGTATGCACCAAAGTTGAGGTGACTGATGGCTTGCCCAGGGAAAGCTTCCTGAATGAGCCCCAGCTCATGCAGGTCACAGCGGCACGTTCATTCGAGCTGGACGTGCTCCCACGAGCGGTCACGTATTTTGAGCAGTTCCGGGGAGCAGCTTCCACTTCTGGGTTGCAGATGAGCATGAGAGGCTCTGGGGGAGAGCATGTAAACTGAGTAATGGGGAGCACTGGGGAAAGACAAGGGTCCTGGGGGTCGGGGATCTGTATTCAGTCTTAGGGGGCTTCACCGTTTATTTTGTGGACCACATTGCTCTTATATCCACTGCATTATCATATTTGCCGATGCTTGAAGATCTAGTAGTTGGGGGGGAAACTAAAGAGATGTATCCCTGATGTTCCAATTGCCCTGGCTTTGACTTTGGGCCAAGTTGAACATCTGGAACCATGAATTTTAATGACTACCGAAAACACTCACTGCCATTGAGTCAATTCCAACTCATAGTGACCCTGTAGGACAAGGTAGAACTGCTCTTGTGGGTTTCTGAGCACGCCGCTCTTTACAGGAGAAGAAAGCCTCCTCTTTGTTTCCCTTGGAACAGCCGGTAGTTTCAAACTGCTGACCTCGTGGTGATCAGCTCATGGAGTAATGCACTGTGCCCTCAGGGCTCCTATGATGTGAGCACAGGGACACTTATTTGGGGATTGTCCTCTAGCTGCCCATTCCTAGTTTTCTTCTGGTTTGCTCTCATGAATACAATGGCAAGTTCAAGGGGGCATAGTGATC